ACTCTGATCTGTATGGCCTAGCAGAGACTCAGCCATTGGGCACTAGGATGGCTCTAGTTGTCAGCCCAAACCCCTGATGTCTGAGTGGCTCTTGGTGGCAATACAGGCCATGAATGTCCATACAGACCCCAGAATGCAGTTGGACCATGGATGCAGACATGGCCTTGGCAGCAGCCATGGCCCAGATGCCACCATGACCAGGGTTGGCAATGCAGGTCACTCAGACCATCATGCACCCAGCACCGGGATGACCCTTGAACACCCACCAGGCCCAAGGTGGCAGTTCAAACCCCAGGCATCCACATGGGCATTGATGGCAACAGGAGCCTCTGACATCAATGAAGTCCCTGACTGCTATGGGGTCATGGACCCAGACAATGGATAACTATCTGTCTTTAGTTCTTCCTCTGTAGTTTTAGATAGAAATTGTCTATGCTAGCAGACATGTGGTGTTTCTGGGTAATCATTTGCAAGACTAAGATACTTTTATCTGTTAGTTGCTATACACAGAGAAGTAAAATGAATTGAAGATCATTTGTTTATTCAGAAGTAAAAAAATCTATGAGCAAATAGATAATTTGAGACATATGAGTAGGAGTTGCACCAATATCCCCAAAATAAAATATTTGTAGAAACATCCCTACCAAATGTAAATTTCATGAAAGGACAACTATGTGATACTTAAAAGCACTGCACATGATCAGCTGCAATAAAAAACAGATGTCACTAGAACAGGATTCATGGTTATGCAGCATTGTGTGCTTTATGAGAATTTTTATTTGCTTTTCTATCATGAGTACACAAATCTTTGTGCTGAACTATCAAGAAACAATCAAAAGATTTTATGATAAACGATGATAGCACTAACATTTAGCTTTGTATTACACTGTCAGTGTATGATACATGAAGCAAACATGCATTTGTTTATCATTAAGCCTGAAATGCAATGTTTGCTGTGATTAAATTGCCAATGGATATGATCTTTTGGACTTAGCTGTGGGGCATATTAAATTAGGATATTAATGAATTATTCTATGTTGAGGGTATAGTAGAAGTAAATGGGCATCTCTCATTAAGTGCAGCTTTCCTTTTTTTTCTATTAACAATTTAACAAGCAATTACAGTATACATGGCATTTGTAAAGTATAGAGTATATGCTGGACATAGGAAAGATAGAGGCTTTAAATTCTCAAGGTTTGAAGCCTAACTGAGAGGTGAGTAGGAGCAAAAGTATGCTCTGAAGAATAAGCAAAGGCTCATTTTATTTCTACGAAAATGTTATAAAAAATTAAAACAGAGAAATTCAGATAGTGAATGATGAAGGTGAAGAACAACGAGATAGGTTGTCTTGGAAAGGCTATTTCTTTTTAGAATATCTGAAAAATGACTATTACAGAAAGAAAGATGTGGAAAGGATCTAGAAGACTAACTCACTCATTTGATGGGAACATATCATATTGATAATAAACTTCTGTTGAAACAGTTGGGAAGAAAAAGAGAAATCTGTGACCAAAATATGAAGAGAGAGTCAGTGGTAAGGAAGGAGTTTTGTGATACTAACAGAAATAGACCATGCATAATCTTTTCCAAATTAAAGAACTAGTATTTTATTTTTGAGGCAAACTGATAGTGAGTCAAACTAGATCAGAGGGGCTAAAATGGCCAGAAACCTGTTTTGGCAATGAAATTTTGTTGACACATAGATATACATGTAGTTTTGCATCTGCTACATGAGCAGAACTTAGTACTTTTGAAAAATACCAGTTCTCACTACAACTGAAAATATTCACTGTATGAATATTTGTGTATATAAATAAATAAGCAAAATATGTGCCCATCTATGAGCTCAGGATTAATGACTTTTGTGCATGGGTTCAGTGGTCTCTGTTAAGGATCAGAGGTAGAAATAAAATAATATGAAAAAACAATTATTATACTTTTGCTGAAATAGGATTGTGTTTTAGAAGAGGCTGGTCATGGGATAGACAATTGGGCATCATGTGACCATATATGTAATGGTTTCTTTCTTGACTGTCTCTATGTTGTTTCATTGATTTATGTATCTGTTTTTTTCTATTACCAAACTATCTTGGCTACTATAGCTTTATTTTTCTAATTTTTACTTTTTATTAGTTCTTTGAGAATTTTGTACACTAATTTTTAACCATATTCACTCCATCCATAACTTCTCCCAGTCTACTACTTCTTACCTATCCACCTAACATTGTGTCTTTCATTTTCTCTCATCAAGCCCAATTAGTGCTGTCCATATATTTATGAATGTGTGGCCTTCCATTGGAGCTTGGTCAACTTATCAGTGTCAACACTCTTAAAGAAAATTGTCCTTTCCCCAGTAGCTGTCAATTGACAAAAGCTCTTAGCTTTAGTTCTGTTTTTATTTTTTGAGGTGGAGTCCTATGTAGCCTTGAACCTCATGATACAATTGGCTATCAATTGGACTGTGTCTGGAATCAAACTAAAACACAAGGTGCTGGGCACTTCTGTAAATTATATTCTTGATTAGATTATTTGAAGCAGGAAAACCTACCTAAGATGTGATTGGTACCTTCTGGTGGCAGCACAGATAAAAGAACAAGAAAGGAAGAAACTGCCTTTTGCCTGCTTGTCCCCACTCTTGCTGGCAAGGCCATCTAGCCTCTTGCTATGATATTCCTTCATGAATATTAGAACTAACTTCTTCAGTGTTCCAATGTAGACTGAAATCCAGTAGTTCCTCAAGAATCCTCTAGCCCTTCAGCACCAGTCTGGGATTGCTGAGATAATCAGCCTAATGAACTGAACAGCTACTAGATTCTCACATTCTCCAGTGCAGGGAAGCCATTGTTAAGACTACTTGAACAACAGATATATTACCAGTCTACCAGGAGGCAGCAGACCTTAGTGGTTTCTGCTTCTGTTTTTGTCTCCAGGTTCTTGTTTGAGTTCCCACTCTGACTTCCCTCAATGATGCACATGATATTGACATGTAAGCCAAATAAACCTAAGTTGCTTTTGGTCAGAATATTTCATCATGTAAAAGAGGAGCAAACTCAAAAAGCTGGGATTTTAGGCATGGGCCATTAGTATAAACTGATCATTGTAGCTTTATAATAAGTTTTGAACTGTTCTTTTCCAAGATTCTTCTTTGCTGTTGCTATTATCTGTGCGTCTCTTGAAATTCTATATGACTTTCTGAGTAGATTTTTTTTTCCACTGTAAAAGTAAGCTTTAGGATTTTGAAAGAGATTGTATTGAATCTGTAAATCATTTGTTGTATAATTTCTTAAAAAACAGACCTACTTTAATTTTGAGAAAAACATTAAAACAAAAACAAAACACCAAGCAAGGGAACAAGGGGCATTCTACAAAACATATTATTAATACTATTTGTAACCGTAAAAGTCTTCAAACAAAATCTGAGAAATAGGACTGCCATGAGTAACCTAAGGCCAGTTTGGGTGTAACTCAGTCATCAGAGAGCTAACTTAGCAGACATGAAGCTTGGATTTAACCCCAGTGGTGCTTAAAAATAGATATGGTGGCACATGCCTGTAATTCTAGCACTTGGGAGTCGAAGGTGAAAACACAGAGATTAGAAGCAGCTCAAGATCAACCTTGGGTACTTATAGAGTTTTGTGTAAACAAAAATGTAACCTAAGGAGATATTCAAACTAATTATAGTTTGGTATCTTGTATAGGATATTGAAACATAAATTTAAAAGGGATAAAATTCAAGAAAATCAGAGTAAAATATAGATAACAGTAAATCATAATTTCTTGATATTGGTTTATTGATTAGAACATATACTACACTAATATAATATATACACTATATGTGAGCCACAGTATAATAACAGTACATGTTAATTAGATAGACAAATAGAAAAGAAGATGAATAATAGAAAATGTTCACAAAACTATAGGAAATAATAGAACTGTCACAGATCTTGGTGGATTTCCCAGCCCTGGAATGTGATTTGGCAGTATCTTGAAAGCTGAGACACTCATTCTTGACTGCACATGCTACTGTCCAACAGGAATGCAGAACACCTCCTCACCAGAAAGTTTATCCCCAAATGTTCAGAATGGCATGGTCTACAATAACCCCAATAGAAACTGCTAATAAAAGGGAGTAATTGGGTATATCCCCAAAGTAAAACAGAGAAAGAATAATCAACACTCTTCCTAAAATTATTAGCTGTGGTAGTGAGTAAGGTACCAGTGTTTATTCACCATCACCTGCAGCAGCCTGTGTTCCATGAATCTTTTAGGGATGACAACTCAGGTGAACTTGGAACTTTGTATTTGCCTCAGAAAGAGATTTCAGGGGACCCAGGAGAAAATAGAGTTAGAGTTTATGAAAAGACATTTAGATGGTTTATAAGTAGTTTAATAATCTATTTGATTGTTTAAGAATTCCATAGACATGCTTGATGTGTTTTGATCAACTCCATCCCCCATTTCCTCCCTTCCAATCCCTCCCCTATCCCACCACATTTCCATTTTTAACATGGGTTTTCAGCAAGAGGGTTAAAAGAAAGAAGTACTTAGAAACCAGGACATACATGGGAGCATCAGCTTGGTTTCTAAGAGAAGAATCACATCTCCTTGTCTTTACAATAGCCTTATATATAATTTGGCTGAGCTTTGAAGATATTATCCTAAAAGGATTGCTAAGGAACCTAAATGAGATTACAGAGTGATTCTTGAATATACTCAAGAGGATCACAATTGATAAGGTAAGAAAGACTCTAGAACACAGGGAGGGACACAGCAAGTTGAGGTATCTTCACTGTAAACAAAGTTAATAGTCTTATGAGATTTCAAGAACTATTCAGACACATTCAGGTCTTAAGTCTTGTTCATTTTTAAAGTTTTTAAAATTTATTTTACATTTATGGATGTATTACAAGAATTACTCAAAATTTGTTAGTCAATTTTAAGATGTAAAATTATCAAGTACTTTTACTTGAAATAAAATGCTGGTTTGCTTATCTTACCTTTCTGTGGTATGGGGGGTGTAGTAGCGCTTTTCAACCAGCAGGTGGTGCTGGTACAGCTCCAAAGCAGGGCCTGCTGGCGACCTTGGCTGGCGGCAGCTGGAGGCAGATGGCGGGATGGCCGGGAGCCGGGTGCGGATACCTCACTCGCAGCGGTTTTTCACTGGTCTCGGGGCTAAGCTAGGGAGCTGAGACCGGACTAGCTGTTCCCCTTTTCGGGAATGGACTGGTTATATGGAACTTTGCAGGCGGGTTTAGGTACTCGCCAGCCGGGGAACAGGCTGAGGGCAGGAGCCGCCCAGACCTTTGGAATTTGCCCCACGTTGGGCGCCAGATATTGGGGAAAATTATAAAGGCCACTCCACGTAGTTAAAAGGAAGATTTATTTAGTGGATGACTTACAAATGAAAGAATGGATAGGTCGCGGGGGTCTGGGGAAGGCGTCTAGCAATCCAGCGGTGTTCTCTG